ATCTTCGTAACTTTTTCGGGCGTTGTGCTCGAAGATGGTCGTCCAGAACGCTCGTCATCATCGACAGGGGTTCGGCCATTTTTAAAACGTGAATGCCACACAAAAGTTTGCGGACTCCCCAAATGTTTGCTTTAGCATTTCATAGGTTTCCGTAGCGGTTTTGGCGAGTCTTTGGCAAAATTTGATGCACACTCTTTGTTCATGAAAATCCGCCATTCCGAAATCGCAGGAGGGTCGGTGTAATGACCTACCAAAACGCCCGTAACTAAGAAACAAATGCTAATTCGATGATGCCGGCTGGCACACTGATTCACTATGAATGTAGGCCGCACCCCCTAGCGGCAGAAGCTCGTACTACATCCGGTTCGCCCTCTATTGACACAGTCTTTAAACTTTCCGATCGCACCTCGTATTCCCAATAGACTGGGGATTGCCTGTGTTAGGTAATTGAAGTTGATCCTAAGATTGTAAAAATATCGTCTTTTTTATAGTTTCATTAGGGTTGGGTCTTTGTACTTTTTAAGACCAGATTTTTCCATAGAGCAGGCAGTCTGTCACCTTTCTCTGATATATACTCACCTTTGCTATTTGCACCTGGTATCCAGTAATTGGGATCTGCTTAAATGGACCTATCAGATTAGGTTCTGAATATGCCTGATGTTGGAAACAGCCAGTTCCTCAAACACAATAATTTAAAACAAACCATAATGTCAGGTAATTATAACTAATTGTAACAACCTTGATCAGAAACATTTAGAAATGGAGGATTGAATATATGACGTTAATTTTATTTTTCTTTCAGGGTACAGTCACACTTCAGTGGTGCAAGCTGGACACCTAGTGCCGCAACCGCCAGCTGCGACTTACCCCACGGGCAGCGGATTGCAAACTCAGCCTGAACTCACTATCGCCTATGCCTTGCCTCCAAACCAACCATCAGGATATCTAGTACATGGGAAAGTTACGGGTGAGTATAGGAAATCAAGAACAGGAAACAGAGAGCAATGTAGTATTGTCATGTTGCTTACCTGTAAACCAGTTGCTGCAGGAATTTTCTGGTGCGAATATTGCCGTAGTTGTTTTGCAGTTTTTAACAGTCTTTGATGATATTTGTAATTCACATTTGTTCCCTGAGAATCCCACAATTTATCCTGGTTTTATTCTGTTATGTATAGTGGGATAGTTTTTTTAAACTAGACCTGTGATCCATGGACCCCTGAAGGTCTGTGATTGTTTAGGAAAAATAATTTTTCCCAGCAGATTAATAAATTATATTACATGGAAAAGTGTGAGCCGCCATAACTCAGTCATTATAGTGACTAGCTACGGGCTGGACGACCGGGGTTCGATCCCCAATGGGGGGGCAGAGGATTTTTCCTCTAGCCTCTGCGTCCAGACCGGCTCTGGGGTCCACCCCGCCTCCTATCTGATGGGTACCGGGGTCCTTTCCTGGGGGTAAACTGCGGCTGGGGCGTGATGCTGATCACTCACCCCCATCTAGTGCCGAGGTCAAGAAAGACTCGGAGCTATACCTCCACTCCCCCGAAGTGCCTGCATGGCGTGTAGTGGGTACAGCTTTACTTTTACTTTTTACATAAAAAAGTGCACACTGGAATTTAAGATTTTAAAATGCTTTGTAAAAGTGAAGGAATCTGAGATTGGAAGTTAAAAATTAAGTTGATGTTTTCAGCTTAATTTGTGGCAGCAATGCAAACACCATCTGTTTATGATGAGAGTGACTAAGAGGCTTCGAAACCTCCAGACAGTTTCATATGTCTCGCGCCTTTTCAGGTTGAGATCATCTAACGAGAAAATGCTAGAAACATTGACAGTGTTTTAAATAGCTGGAACCCTTGTGTGTTGATCTGCAGTGTACAGCGAAGAGTACAGAGTGTGTGATGAAGGTCTAAGTACATTACCAAAGTTGTGCTTTGCTTGAACCCCGATTCCATAAGAGTACGTTGTGAATTATTGTCAAAAGAGGCCATAAAACCATCTAAGTTATGGAGACACTTGGAAAGTAAGCATGAAGAACATGCTTCCAAATCTATCGAGTTTTTCAAAAATGAAATAGCAAGAGCTCCAACAAAGTAGGAAACTAATTAAGGTGATCTCAACGGGTTCTTGCAATGAATCGCTGTGAAAGCTTCATATGAAGTGTACATGCTCATATCTAAAGCTGGAAAACCTCATATAATCGCTGAAGAACTGGTATTACCTGCTGCTAAAGCCAGAGAAAAATCAGCGAAAGTTTTAAATTTTGTGGCATTGTCTAACGAAATGTTAAACAAGCGAATTGACAAAGTTTCAGGTACAGTAAAAGAACAGTTGATTGAAATAATTTGTAAAGTCAGAATTATAGCCTACAAGTGAATGAAAGTACAGACTTTACAAGCAAATCTCATATACTGAGTTACGTTAAATATGAGTTTGAGGGAAAAATTATTGAACGCATCCCCGGCGTAAATCGAGGGCTACCTGTACTATTTTTGTCTCGTTTGTGGGTACACTTTCAAGGAAGTGATATGATGTACTGCAGTCCGTCACTTATTAGGGGAGTTATTGACACTTTTATAAACATACTACAGTTAGCAAAGTAGACATCTTAGGGGAAATTGAGGGTTAGGAGAACTACAACCCCCTCGTAACTCTCGTTGAAGCCTGAGAGTTGGCTCTTACTTTACTAACAGACAAGCAAACTACTTACAAAACTGACTCCATGCAACAGAGACCTTCTTGAGAAGCTGATAGTCACTAGTTAGTCCAGAAAATCCCCCACCTTTTATGATTAATGTACTCGCCATTAATTCCTATTCTGAGCCAGGTGAATCCATACCATCCACCCTATTCATTTTAATAATATCAGCCTATCTATGCTTAGGTCTGCCGAGTGGTCTCTTATCTTCATATTTTCTGACCTCATTTTTGGTTTTCAGGTTACGATACTCAGTTTTATGACTCACAGTATCCAGTTCAGATGTAAGGCGTCTGGGATTGGCAGCTGTTCCATTGGTATGACTGCAGAGTACAAGTTCCTATAATTTCTGTAATGTAATTATGTCTGATAGTTATTTTCATCTGCTAGTTATATCAAAAGTGCAACAGTTATGAAGTGTTCCATTTCAAGCCATTTAGTGCTTAGGTTAATAATGCATGGAGCTGTATCTCCACTCCCCCCATACATCTGCATGTGTGGTGCTTAGTTAAGTATCAGGGACAACTTAATTTTTGCATTTCAAGCCTTGAACAGCACCTCTCCAAATACAAGCCTCTTTTGTCAGTATTACTTTGAACTTTAATTTATATTGTGTTAGCATGTGTGTATGTGTGTGTGTTTTTTTTTTAATCTTCATTACAGTCACATTTGATTAAGAATTGCTGCAAGTTTAATTTTGCATGCAATGTTTATTCAGTTACCATCGTAAGACCATTGTTTTGCTTAATCTGGTGTTAAATTAAAATTATTTTTGCAATGTTCTGAATGTGTCATGAATGTTATGTTCTTCATATACAGTACTTACAAATACACCTTCTATTTTATCCATTTTTTTTACCTCTGATTTTACATTTATTTTAAATTATATATACATGTATGAAACTTTTCCCTTCCCAATTCAAAAACCTTTAATCTTTTTTATTCTAAAGTTATATCCAGGTTGACTTTGCAGCCTGTTCAGTCTTCAGTGCAGTGGATACTGCAAATAAAGACAGCCGGAACATATGATTCTAATCAATTCTATATAACGCCGAACTCTAGTAACGTGTGACTGGTATAAATGTCTGGTTCTGATTTTGTCCTTGGAATGAGCTGTCCTGACAAGTTTTACATAGTAGGTCCTCTGGAAATGCTTGAATGGTACTGTCAAATTGGTCATGAAAACTACATTCCAAATTATTTTCCCAGTCACCACTTACGAAAATCTGTCTGGTTTTGTACTGCATCTCTCTGCTGTTTGAACATCAAGAAGTAGATAAGATACAACATATGACATAACCTGAAGGTCCTATGCCTACATACTGTCCACCGACCACGAGAAAAGCCCTGCTGGGGGGGATGTTTACTATCAAGTGGACTAGAGGGCTGCTATTGGTGGGAAGTGTGATACGTCAGAGTTTTACGCTACTACACAGACTGAAAACATCAAGCAGTTAAGTGTAGCGTGTAGTGAGCGCACTTGTAATGTGTCGTGATAATATTCTAGATTCAATCATTGTGCCACTGTGAGGTAATCTTAAATCTGTACCCACAAGAACAAACGAAAGCCTGTCGTCTGTTGTTCGTTCAGTGGTTGTGGAACGAATGCTTTTAGGATGGGTCATCACTCGCCGCGAAATCTTGCGCATGCGCGTATATCGAATTCCTAGCAGGGATTTTCTCCTGGTCTGTGGACTGTAGATACATTGAAAATATGGATAGTTTCTTTTTTTTAAATTTTAGCAGTGGAAACATGAGAGTAAATTTAATTATAACGAATTGCCAACACGTATGCTGTTCGAATTACAAAATCAGAATTCTGCTCAAAATGCAATGAACAAACCCTATGAATGGAGTAAACTGTTTATTGTAAATAATGGCACTTGAAATGAGTACATGAATACACAGTACAACACAAATATACAATGCAGGGTGTTAACATTAAGTGTATGATTTGAGGTTTTCACAGCGGTGAGTATGAAGATTTCCGTCTTCTGGGTTGTTGCGCTGTGTAGTCTGGTTGATGCTAACCAACGTTTCGGTCCTCTCAATTGGCACATTCATCGCCCTGAAGACGGAGGCAGTATGACCTCTGAAACGTTGGTTAACATCGACCAGACTACACTGCGCAACAACCCAGAAATCTTCTAACATTAAGAGGTTTGCTATCTACACAACTGAGACAATATGAAAAAAGTGGTTTGTTATCTACACAACTGAGACAATATGAAAATAAACCAAGTATGCACATTTACTTTGAGCCGTTAGTCATACCTATAATTATGGCACTTGTCAGCAGTTGCAAGCTGGATTAATAACTGGGCCAAAACTATACCACAAACACCTGCCAAAGTTTTAACATGATGCGCCCAGTTTGCGTCATGCTGCGGTCGTCATATAATGCAGTACTGACACGTGCTCCATCACTTGACAGAAAAATCAACAGTTGATCATTGACAGGTCATGTTATTTGTTATACTTTGCATGTTAAACTCTGATACAAAATGTTTTGTGTGTGGCGTATGAAACATCCCAAAACACGTAGCCCCTTCTTCTAAGGCTTAGTGCTCATCATAGTTTTTATGTAGCTTACAGTGGACTGAAGTTTATTCAACCAGAACAAATATGTACTCATCTTCATTAATCAGCGTATTATATCACAGAAGATATAGGTTACAATCCTTCATGAACAGGCATCCCGCGCCCGTCATTATGCGCAGGCAACGGCAAGGGTGCTAAGGCCCTCGATGTGGGTTTCCATTAAGTAAAGCCCTGTGCTCTGAGGAGAAGCTGTGTCGTAAATCAACTACGCTGCCAGTCGGCGATACATCTATCATGTCCTCCTCTTCATCCTGACTGGCCAGTTGATATCCGTTGCTGCTTGCCGAACAGTACTTTTCTCCAAGCCGGAGGGCCAACCACCGAATTGCGATGAATGTCATAATGCATAGGACGTTTATTACGGCTGCTGAATACATCAGCATTGCAGGGTGGTTCAGCATGAGCTGGTACACTGCGACAGGACACACCATCTCCCCTAGAGATGCTCCTACCACAAAGGCTGCGGCCACCTTGTTGGAGACGTGGATGTAACGTTCAATCCACAGTATGCCCGTTGGAAACACGGACGCCAGGCCGATTCCGAGCAGAGCCGTTCCTACCCACAGTGCCGTTTCAGTGTGACTGCCCATAACAGACAGAAGAACGGTTCCAAGGGTACAGAACACAAAGTTGAATAGCAACATAACGATGGGGCCAAACCCACTGGAAAAGAAAATGGAGGCGAAGCGCATGGCTGCGAATGAACCCCAGAACACGATGACGGTCATGAGTCCGGTGGACTGGGCGAGCTGCAGATCACTGTTCACGGCAAATGCCAGCACCAACTGCCCATATGTTACTTCTAACCCCACGTACAGAAGAAAGAAGATTGCCATCAAGGTAATTAGCAAACTATGCAAGGCTCTATTTGATATCTTCTTGGTACTTTGTCCCTCCTCTTGTTTTGATTTGGGGTCTCTAGGATTGTGACACAAGAAACCCAAGAACACAAGTGATATTGCAAACACAAATAATCCTACCATGAGATATGTAAACTGAACTCTACTGAAACCATACTTTTCTATTCTGTTGGCTACAATGTTGAATACTGAATTAATAACCTCCGTGTCGTTATCGTACGTAACAGGCTTAGAGTGATGGACATGTCTGTCAAGTGAGTTTCCACCTGGAAGGGCAGCTGGTAATGATGCCATCACATCTAGTGTCTGAATCAGCGTGGAACTGGCAGAGGAGAAAGTCGACCGTTCTGTGCTAGAAACTGTCGTATGCTCCTCGGTCCCCGTGCTGCTGGTATGTTTAATAAATGCCTGAGTGCCTTGACCTTCTTCTGATATATCTGTGCTTAATTTCATATATGACCTGACCTGTGTCCCAAATTCTTCTGGTGTTTCCAGCGAATGTTCATATGAAAGAGTTGCCTTAACTTGCGAGTGACTGATTATGGGAACGCTTTGTTCTGTGGTGCCTGATCCAGTTATGGAATCGTCTACCAGACTAGATGACCTTCCACTGACATTTATGGAATTGGAATTGTTATTTATAGGCAGTTGATTCTTTGTCTGCTCAGAATCTGTATTGTCTGTAACATTTTGGGCGGAAGACTCGGCAGTATTGTTTTTGGTACTGGGTACGAGAGAAACCATTTTGGTTTTACTGTAGTCTGTATTGCTTCCTTCATTTCTACTCACGAAGGATCTAGTAAAATCTGTGCTTTCATACACTGAATGTGGACTAGGATTTGTATCTGCATTAGTTTCTTCGGCTAGAGCGGCAGTTTCACTTCGTTGCGGCAGTAACGCCTGCTGAAGTTCAGAATAAGAGTCTGAAGCGGGAGATACAGATGGAAACACGGTATTTGTGGTGGCACTTGTCGTCTTACTGGTAGCAGTGGATGAAGATAAGGCAGAGGCAAGCGGTATAAGATCTTCCTTCGGTAGAGTTCCTACATGAACACTGTCCCAATTTTTATTACCGAGTGAACTCGCGTTCGTTTTGGATGGTTTCCGTTTTGGCACTCTGTGCGTTGTTGCAATTGGTTGGACAGTTGTTTCATTTGCACCAAAGCCATCTGCTGCATCAACTTCAACTGATTGTAGATTAGAAATTGTACTTGCAGGGATCACTGGAATCATAACATCTGAAGTTCTGGAGACGTCGTCATCTAACGACTTCGTAGTAAATTCAAGGAAACTGTTGTTCAGAGGCTCCAAATTATTATTAATTACTCCCGTGATGTTCTGCTCATCTTGTGAAATGTATCTCTTCCCACGCTCTACCCCTGTTGCATTAGGATCTGAAACTTGGAAAGGGACAGTAGTGGTGGAAGGTTGTAGGAAAGGTGCTGCCAGCAGCGGTGCAACGAAGGCTCCAAGACCAAAACTGAAGTGCAGGGCTTGCATGAATGGACCACTATTTCTTCCCCACAAATCCAAACAAAGAACATTGCCACCTGAAAAATATGGACCAGGCAGTACATTTATCAGTAAATTCTCATAAATACACTTTATAAAAAAATCTTGTGCCTCAGAATTTCAAAGAATAAAAGTTACATAATTTCAAGT